TTAGCTGATGTGTTACAGTCTATTTCCTAATATCTTGAAGATGTTTGCAACTATGCTTATTAAGAATATTGAACTGTTTTGTCTTTTTTGATCATTTTTAGCTTGAAATTTATTTTGAAATTAAAATTGCCATCCATCCTAGTTTTAGAGGACCTGGTGCATAAAGTATTTTTTTCTATTCTTAAGTGTTTAGAATATGAATAACTTTTTGTATTAGATAAGTTTCATAAATGCAACATATTATTGGATGCTGGGTTTTTTTATCCATCCTACCAATCTGTGTCTTTTAAATAGAGAGTTGAGGCCACTGGTATTGAGAGATATTACTGAGTATGCTGTTACTCTGTTATTGACACTGTTTTTATTTTCTTTTCTTATCTTCTTTTTACATTATGTAGTTGTTACATCTGCATTTTGGGCCATGGTGGTTCCACTGTTTTTGTGTAGGATTTTTCTTGAGCATTTTCTTGGAGCTGATTTGGTATTCACACATATTTTTTATAGTTCTTTTCAATAAAATGGCCCTATTTTGATATCTATTCTCACGAAAACTTATGTCTGGTATGTCAATCTGGGTTGCAAGTTGTTTGCTTTTAGGTTTAGAAATTTGGTTAGATTTGTAGATCAAATCTAACAAGTAGATTACTGGTAGGAAGAAATAGAGCCTGTATGCCTGGTCTGTATCTTTCCAGCCTGTCTCTTCCAACAGCAGACATTAAGAGAACATAGTCTGAGGGATGAAAAGGATGACAAAAAAGCATTGAGACACTGAGCTCTCGGGTCAGAATATATATATATATATATATATATATATATATATATATATATATCACCCTCCCCCCCCCCCCGTCACCTCTAATTCAAACACAGGGGAATGCTGCAGCCTTGTGGCATCCTCACCAATGTTCATGAAGGGCAAGGGAACTACTGCCTCTATCACAGGCTGAGTGTCTTGGTTACTTTTCTCTCATCATTGACACAAAATACCTGACACTCAAAATGATGGAAGGAAAGGTTTATTTAGCTTACAATTTTTGGAGGTTTCAGTCCATACTCAACTAATTCCAAGGCAGGGTTGTGGGGCTTAGGGGCAGCTGTTCATGGCAACTGCAAGCAATAAGAATAAAAAGGGCAAAAAAGGGAAAAGCACACTTCCTCCTCTGAGTTATATTGTATGCCAATAACCAGCCCTGGGCGGATACAGCACTCACATCACCAATCCCAGTGCTAGACAATGAACCAATCATAAATGCTACATTCAGCTGTTTTCATGACTGTATGAGGCTTGGGAAACAACCAAACATAAATCATAACGCTGAGAGAGAACAAAGGGGTGTACAGGAACTGTATATTCCCACAGGCACACATTATTGAACCTCAGACTCTGTAAACTTCTGCTTTACAGTGAATTGCAGATCCCCACAGTTCCAATAGCTGCTATTGTCTCCTGTGGATCACTCAGAGATAGTGGATGAACATATTCACAGATTTATAAAGACCCTTGCTAGAGTTTGAGCATGCCCTGGATTCTGGGGTCTTCCAGCAGCAAGTAAACCTTCCTGCAAATTCTGTCATCACTCCTGGTTGAGGGGTGGTCCTAAGCCAAGACTAAGGACAATAACAGATTCTGCCTGAGAGCTAGTGGAGTAAATTCCTGAGACCAGCACTGATCTTGGCAATGGAATGGAAGGAAGTGATAATAGTGTGACTGCATATAGCCCTTTAGCAATCGAAGCAAGAGGAGAATGGTGTGAACATTCAGGATTTTTGACAAAACTGCGCCATATTAATTACATATACATTGTCTTGTAATATTTGAATTGAGTTCCTGCTGGATATCTTTGTGCATGTGTGTGTAGTCTTTTTTTTTGGGGGGGGGGAGTGGGGGTTTGCTTCAGTTTAGTTGGTGTTTACTTTCTCTCTTTGTTTTCATCTCCCTATTTATTTTCTTTAACTCAAGCTCCTATTATAATACTACTATCTTACTTTTACTTGTTTCTTTCACTTTTCTATATTCTTCCTTTCAAAGTTTTAGTTTACAATATTATACTGTTTCTCCCTCAGTCACTCCTAATTTCTCTTGGATTAATCCCCCATGCTATCTATTCTATTCTTTTTGTTCTCCCCCGCACCCCTTTTTTTAAACTTAATCACATGTGTTCCTTTAGCCCTTGTCCACTTTACAAGAGTACAAATATTTCAACACCTTCAAAACTATCTCTTACCTTGCCTCAATTCTGAAGTATACTTACTTCTTCCTATATCTCACCCTCACCCCAAAAATTACCTTCATCAATCCAACACTAGACCTTCAATGTAATTAAAAGTCATCCAATGGAATCTGACCCCACATCTAATTATTTTAGATACTATTACCTTTTTATACTACCCCCTCACAGATTTTCACTCTCACAGACTTTCACCCACTTATCAATCACTGTCTTTCACTTTTCCTGCCATATTGCAGAATAACTTTTAACAAAAATTTAACATAGGGTGCAAAAAATATTGGTAAAAAGTGAAATTATAACTGCAAGGTCTACCACAAATAATGATTGTGTGGTAGAATCTATCGATGCTGTTAAAACCAGAAGTAATTCTTACCTCAAAATACATGGACAAGAGCCACAATTCCACAAATTAAATAGCTGGAGTAAGTACTATCTGGTTGAATAAAACTGAAAACATATAAAAAGAAGGCAGTGCCTCACCAAAAAATGCCTTCATGTCAATTATAAGCACTCCTCATTATACTTGATTTCAAATCTTGGCACCACAAAATAAAACAAAAACGGGGGCAGGACGGATACATACACACAGAATCTGGAAAAAATAAGGCAATAAAAGACTCCCCCAAATCCCTCAACTATCCCAAGGCAAATCCAGGGAGCACAGATGGAGAGAAAAAACAAATACCAGGTAGTGGAGCTCTGCAAACTGTTTAAGGAAGAAATACAGAAATTTGGTGAGTTCAAAGCAATATAACCCAGAAGATTATGGAATTATCATACAAAATAACTAACATGAATCAGGGGAACCAAATTAAAAATTGAAAGAGCTAAACAAAATGGTGCAAAACATGAATGAAAAATTTACCAAAGATATATAATTCATGAAAAGTTATCAGACAGAAATACCAGATATAAAAATATATAGAATTCATAAATTGTGAAGACAGGTTTCTGAAACTGAGGATAAAATAATAAATTGTGATGAAGTACTCAGAGAAGCCTCAAAAATGAAAAGAGACTAGAAAATACATCCAACAGTTATCAGGTGAAACTAAGAAGTCTGATCTATGAGTAGTTTAGAAAGTAAAATATAATACACATGAAACAATTTATTTACAGAAATCGTAATTAAAAACACAAATATGAGCAGAGTTCAAATACAAATTAAGTGAGACTTACAGAGGACCATAATGAAACGAAACTCCCAAGACGCATCATAATTAAGAGCCTAGATGTTCAACAGCAACAACAGTAAATACCCAGAATTTTGAAAGCTGTCAGAGAGAACCAAAAAGTCACATATAACAATAAACCTATTGGAATTATAGCTCACTTCTCTGCACAAACTTTAAAGGCTAGAAGATCTTCAAGTGATACATATATCATCTTTCCAACTAATTTGATTCAGGATTTAAGAACGTCCTCTACTACAGGGTTTTTATGTCTTCAGTGAGTCTATGGATACCTCTCATGTGACTCCTCCTCTAGTCAACCAAGTTGAAAGTCCTGAGTTAAGCTATGATCTTTTAAATTACAATACAATTTAGACATTTCTCTAATCTACCATGTTTTATTCAGAAATATCTTGTGCCAACCAGCAATTTATTTTTTTGCCTTTGTGAGAGGGTCTTGCTATGTGGTTTAGGCTGTCCGTGGGCTCACTTTGTAGCCCAGGCTGGTGGGTCGAACTTTCAATGATACTCTTGCCTCAGCCTCCTGAGCACTGAAATTACAGGAGTGTGCCATTATGCCCAACTCCAACTAGCAATTTTTATGTCCTTGTTTAATTTAAAAGTTATATACTACTACCTTCAGAAAAAACTCTAGTAAACCAACCATCTATTCATTTGTGTTATCATCTGATTTATACATATACCACCTTGTCTGCAATGAAAATATCAAGTACTTAAACTGTTTTATTATATCCTTACAGAAGCATTAACTAAAATATTTTTGTTTTGAGTAGGTGCTCACTAAACATGAAATGTATTAAACAACTAACTCAACATTACAAAATTATGGAAGCAAACAAATGATAAACATCTCATTGACTTAGTAGACACACAACCATAGTTTCTTCGGGTTTTGTTGTTATACCTCTTTGACTACTTGTGGAGAGAATATCACTAGCTCCAGAAGTTTGAGTCCTGCTTTGGAGATGGAAACTTTAACAAAACATACTGATCACTTTGCAAACATCCTCTGAACTGCTGCTTCCTTAATTTCAGGTTTTTTTTTTTTTACTTTTCCTTATGATTTCCCAAATGATAACAGAGAAATCTTGAGGAAGATTTCACTAGACAAACCTGGGATGAGCTGCTTGATACAAATAGAAGGTTTGGTTATGTCTAATCTAGGAAAAACATTGTTGGGTGGAGTCTCATTAGTCATTCAATGAAAAAATATAATCGTTCTTCAAGGTTGATCATATTGTTGTTGTTCTTGAAAAGAGCCTAACTTTCAGAAATAACACCAATATTCAAGCCAATCTCTACTTGATGCTTTCCCATCCATACTTACTACTGTGAAGAGTTTCAATTAAAAAGATCAGTGAATTTTAGGAGGGTATTTTCTATTTTTCTGAGGTATAATAATGGTATTTTGATTGGGATTGCACTAAATCTGAGTAGCAATTTTGGGAGTTTTCCTTACGCTGGATTTTCCTATCCATGAACAAGGGATATCTTTTCATTGTCTAATATTTTCCTTGATCTCCTTTTCCAGAGTACTGTAATTTTCAATGTATGACTCTTTTACTTCCTTTGTTAGATTGATTCCTAAGTATTGGGAGCCTGGTCAAGAACCCCAAGTGCCTGTATGCGAGGGATGGCAAAAGGATGAAATAAGACACAGAGGCAAATTTAGTAATGCATGATGGGGAGCTGGAAAGTCAGTGCCAAAAGGTGAGCAAAGATCCAGATACTCTAAACTAGCCCCAATTATTGGGTGTGTACAATGCAGTGCATGCATATTGTGATAGGAAGGGCTAGAGGAATATTCAGAGGTCTATAATTCAGCAGGGGGACCATCTAGGCTCAGCATTATGCTTATTTTTTTACACTTTTTTATTTAAAGAGAAAAAAGAGAGGACATAAAAACAAAGCAGTAAAAGGGTACACGTAATACAGAATTTCAAGAAAAAATATACAGTAAGAAATAACTAGTTAACAGGTTACATATTGTCTTCCTAGAAACCGTTGTCCAAATTACAGAATTAAAGCATATAAAGTGAACATTCATACAGTGAGATTGGAGACTGTTAAGTTCAATGATCCAACAAAAACTCAGTAATATGGTTTTCCATCCTACACATTCAAACATACTTGCGGTTATATCCCATAGTCCGCCTTCTTTTCCTCTCTTTTTTACAATAACAATTACACTTTTGGGGTTTTATTATTCCCACAGTTCTTATTACTTTTTTTGAGGAGAATAAAATCAAATGTGACTAAGCAAAACAGAGTCAGTTAGAGCAGAAGAGTGGGCATAGTACATGATGCAAAAATAGAATACCAGGTGATCAAAAGTGGTTACCATTGTGACTCTTGCTATTTTTAAATTGAGTTGGCTATATCATCAGGTATAATAGAATTGATCAAAACAGTACAGAACAAGACCAATAAAACCTACACTGAAGACCATATAGGACTTCAAAAAAAGATAATTGTCAAACCATAATGGACATTATAGTATATCTTATTGCATTCAGAGTGGTTGCCTATACCCTCAAACTTGATACTATCAAACAAAATAGAATGTAGAATAATCTGAACAAGATGGGGAGAGCAATACTGGGGTTCAAATCAGGTTAATAGGAAAACAAAAAAAGTTACTATAATATGTCCCACTATTTTTTAATTTAAATTTCCCTTAATTAAATATGAGAGAAAATAGATTAATTTTTAAAAAGGGGGGAGATTGAGATAAAAGAGGACATTGTAACAGAACAATACAGGTCAGAACCGAACAATTTAAGCATCATTGTGTTTCACCACCAGATAATCTAACATACTAGTAGTCGCAATAGTGCCTCTTTCCTTGAATTATTTGAGTGTAACTTCGTATGCTATAGCATCAAGCATATCAAAACGGTGTGAAGCCCTTCAAGAGAATGAAAGAATTACAGGGTATTTAGAACCAACTAATAGAAAATGAACAACAGTTTCTATATTATCTTTTTGCCCATAAAAAGTTTTGTTTACACTATTGCATATAGTGAAATATAGTAAGATACAACATGTTAAAAACCAGTGGAAACAGATGTACCACAGCTTGATGGGACTTCAAAACAAGATTATATTAAATCAGCACTAGCTTTTATATTGTGTTGTTTTCTTCAAAATAGCTATTCGTACTATCACAGGTACTAAAATCGAACAACCCAGGTTAAAATCATTGCAATTAATGAGTGAAAACATTATATGGCTTCAAGCCAATATGATTGGGAATCATGATTACAACATACTTTTATGTATTCTTATCATTTCTTACACTAGGGAAACTATTCGGTATTTATACATGTGAGTTTGATTTATTTCACTTATGAGTATGGTCTCAAGCTGTGTCCATTTATTTATAAATGTCTCAATGCGATCATTCTTTATAAATGAGTAGTACTCCATTGTATAAAAATACCACAACTTTTTTATCCATTCCTCAGTTGATGGGCACTTAGGTTGTTTCCAAGATCTGTCTATTACAAATTGTGCTGCTATAAACATGGGTGGACATATAGCACTGTGGTATGATGCTTTCAGTTCTTCTTGGAATATGCCTAGAAGTGGTATAGCTGGGTCAAATGGGGCTTCCAGTCCCAGTTTTCTGAGAAACCTCCAGAATGACCTCCACAATGGTTGCACTAGTCTACACTTCCACCAACAGTGCAGGAGAGTTCCTTTTTCCCCACAGCCTCTCCAGCATTTTGTTATTTGGTGGTTTTCTTCATCTTGGCCATTCTTTCAGGAGTGAGATGAAATCTCAGTGTGGTTTTAATTTGCATTTCTCTAATGACTAATGATGATGAATATTTTTAATATATTTGTTTGCCATTTGTATTTCTTCATCTGAGAATTGTTTATTCATCTCAGATCCCTATTTTTGAACTGGGTCTTTGAATTTTGGGGGTCTGATTTTTTAAAAATTCTTTATGTGTTTTAGAGAGAAGTCCTTTGTATGAGGGGCAGTTCACTAAGATATTTTCCCAGTTTGTGGGTTTTCTTTTCATTATGCTGGAGATTTCTTTTGACGTGCAGAAACTTTTTAATAAGAGTTGTTCCCAGTTTTTGACTCTGTGAAGAATTTCCCTTGCGGTTTGAGTCCTTTCATGAATTCTCTACCTACTCCTATGTCTTCAAGGTTTTTACCCATTTTGTCTTCCAATAGATTTAATGTTTCTGTTTTAATATTTAGATCTTTGATCCATTTAGATTTTAATTTAGTACATGGTGATGGCCATGGTGATAGTCTAGTTTTAGTTTTCGGCATATGCAGAGCCATTTTTTCAAACACCATTTATTAAAGAAACTGCCATTCTTCCAGTGAACATGTTTGGCCCCTTTATCAAAGATAAGGTGGTTGAGTGTGTTTGTAGTTGTGGTTGCATCTTCTAATCTATTCCACTGATCTTCGGCTCTGTTTTGATTCCAGTACCATGTTGATTTTACTACAGTTGCTTTGTAGTATAACTTCAAGTCAGGGATTGTGATACCTCCTGCCTTGCCTTTGCTGCTTAGAACTGTCCTTGCTATTGTAGGTCTCTTCTCGCTCAAGATGAATTTTAGGAGTGATTTCTCGTGTTCTATGAGGTATGTTGATGGTATTTTTATCGGGATTGCATTGAATCTGTATAAACGTTTTGGGAGAATGGCCATTTTCACAATATTTATTCTTCCTATCCATGAGCAAAGGATGTTTTTCCATTTTCTGAGATCATCTTCAATTTCATTTTTCAGTGTATCATAATTTTCCCTGTATAGGTCTTTCACTTCTTTCATGAGAGTAATTCCCCTTCATTTTTCTGGTTGCTAGTGTGAAGGGTGTGGCTTCTCTTATTTCTCTCTCTGTGATTTTGTTGTTAGTGTATAGGAATGCTATTGATTTTTGAGTATTGATTTTATATCCACCTACATTACTGAATTTATTCATTATATCTAGGAGTCTTTCAATGGAGGTTTGGGGATCTTCTATATAGAGTATCATGTCATCTGCAAATAATGATAGCTTAATTTCTTGTTTCCCTATCTTTACGCCTTTTATTTCTCTCTCTTGTCTAATTGCTCTGGCTAGAATTTCCAGTACTATATTAAATACAAGTGGTGATAAGGGACATCTTTGTCTTGTGCCTGATTTTAAAGTAAAGGCCTTCAATTTTGGGCCATTTAGTATGATACTGGCTGTTGGTTTGCAATAGACGGCCTTTATTATATTGAGGTAAAGACCATCTATTCCAATTTTCTGCAATGTTCTTATCATAAATGAATGTTGGACCTTATCAAAAGCTTTTTTTTGCATCTATAGAAATGATCATGTGATTCTTACTTTTGGCTCTATTGATATAGTGTATTACATCTATTAATTTATATATGTTGAACCATCCCTGCATGCCTGGGATGAATCCCAATTGGTCATGGTGTATGATTTTCTTGATGATTTGCTGCATCCTATTTGCCAATATTTTATTGAGGATTTTTGCATCTGTGTTCATTATGGAGATTGTTCTGTAGTTCTCTTTTACAGTTGGGTCCTTTTCAGGTTTTGATACTAGAGTAATATTTGCTTCTAGGAACAATTTAGGAAGGATTGCTTCCGTTTCAGTTTCATTGAAGAGTTTGAGGAGTGTTGGCCATAGGTCTTCTTTGTATTTCTTGTAGAATTCTGCAGTGAATCTGTCTGGGACTGGGCTCTTCTTTTTAGGTAAAGATTTAATTACATTTTTTATTTCATTAATAGAAATTGGGTTATTCATCAGTTTTACATCTTTATGGCCTAGCTTTGGTACTTCGTATGCTTCTAGGAATCTGTCTATTTCCTCTGTGTTATCAAACATTTGAGAGTAGAGGTTTTCAAAATAAGTGTTGATGATTTTCTGTATTTCTATAAGGTCTGTAGTGATTTCTTCTCTTTCGTTCCTTATTGCGTAAATTTGAGCTTTTTCTTCCCTTTTTGTAATAAGGTTGGCTAGGGGCTTGTAAATTTTATTTATTCTTTCAAAGAACCAACTCTTTGATTTATTGGTTTTTTGGGTTTTTTTAGTCTCTGTTGCATTGATTTCTGCTCTGATTTTTATAATTTCTTCTCGTCTTTTGGCTTTGGGCTTGTCTTGCTCTTCTTTTTCTAGATGTTTAAGGTGTAACATCAGGTTATTTATTTTTATTCATTCTGTTTTCCTGATGTGTGTACTCAGTGCAATAAATTTTCCTCTGAGGACAGCTTTCATTGTATTGCACAGATTCCAGTAAGTTGTATTTGTGTTTTCATTTTCTTGTAGGTATTGTTTAATTTCTTCTTTAATTTGCTCTGGGATCCACTAATTACTCAAGAATGTGTTATTCAGTTTCCATGTGTTTGTGGGAATTTTGCAGTATCTTTTATCATTAATTTCTAATTGCATAGCGCTGTGGTCCAATAGCATGCAAGGCATAATTTCAACCCTTTTGCATTTATTTAAATATGTTTTTTGAATTAATATATGGTCTATTTTAGAGAATGACCCATGCACTTCTGAGAATAATGTGTATTCTGTTGTTGTTGGGTGGAATATTCTGTATATGTCTATTATGTCCATTTGTTCACAGGTGCGATTCAATTCTTTTATTTCTTTGCTGATTTTCTGTCTGGTTGATCTGTCCACTGGTGTCAATGATGTGTTAAGATCTCCTGTTAGAATTGTGTAACTGTTAATTTG